TAATTATGTTGCCATATTAAAAAAAAAAATTGGTACCATATAATTCTCTAAAAGAAGTAATCATAATTATATTACTTAATTTGAGTATTTGACGATAATACCCCTAGATTTAACACCTATTTAATAGAAATCTTAACGGATGACTATTTGTGATAAAAAAAAATGATAGTCAAAGTACATATTTTGGTTGAATTTAAAGTCAAGGACTAAAAGGAGTACTAGTTCAATAGTCAGGGAACTATTTGTGGTATTATTAACACTTTTTTCCCGAAGTCCTACGGACCAAACATTGCTAAGTACAACCTCTAATACACCTTTTATATATATATATATATATATATATATATATATATATATATATATATATATATATATATATATATATATATTAGTTTTATCCTTCCTTATCAATACACCTTAAATATATGCTTATATTTTAATTTTATCTTTCTCTAACACACCTTGAATATATAATTATATTTTAATTTTATCTTCTCATTAAAATTAAAATTGTGATTTGTGAGATATTCATAATTCTAATTGTATATTAATTGTGAAATTAATAATGTGTTATGTGTGATGAAATTTATTTAAAGTGATTATTATTAATTGATACAAAATATGTTTTGTAATTTTTTTTTTTGAATGCATGTTTTGTAATTTAATTATGAAAAATATTTTAAAAGAAAATTTATTTTTTTAAGATGAAAATTTACATTTTTTTATGAACTATTTAGACAATGTGATCTAAAAGTTTCAAATATGTGTCATCGTACTTAATAGATCATAGATGATACACAATTTATTTCAACAATTTCATAAATTTATTTCAACAATTTCATATTTAACCATAAACATTTTGTTTTTCTCCCTCACTAAACAAAATTTCTGGCTCCGCCCGACTTATAAGAGATCATATCATTCCGAATTTCCGATCTTATAGTTATTAGTTAGTGTACATTAACAACTAACATGCTAACCAATTGCCCAAACTGTTGGGTTAATATACATTGGTATTAGTAGCTTTCGGAGACAACTTGACATGCAAAGAAAAACATAACTATACATGACTATAACATAAATATTACCAATTTATCGTTTAAAAATCTCCCGACAGCCAAGATTGACAGGGAAGAGTTAGGTTGAGTCGATTTCCAACGGTTATTGCATGTACCGTGCTCCAAAAACGATATCATTTTGCGTAATTATTATTATTATTTTCATATATTATTCTAACTTATAAAATATATTATTTTACACCAGAAGTATTATTATTCTAACACATAAAGTTTTATTATTCTAATTCATAATATTCAATGACGTCGTTTTGGACCGTAATCCACGATCACAGTCCACGCAATAATTTGCCGTCGATTTTGAACACCATCACCTAGTACCGGCCAGCAGCGATGTGAGGGGTATGGATGATATGATGAAACAGTGTGGACCAAACACAATAAATATGAATAGGGATTGTGCCCAAAACATGGGTGTAATGGAGGGTCTACTCCTCTCTTCTCTATTGTGATAAAAAAGTTTGAAAAATACAAGAGATAATAGTGTAGACAAAAGACTAAACCGATAGGGCCAAAGGCATTCAATAAGACACCAATTACGCCTACACCATACTTGTTTTCAAACGTTTTTTGTACCTGTTTTGACATACACCCCCACTCTACACAACACTCACAACACCATCACCATACCTTGTATGTGGACCAATTAAGCACCAACCTAAAATAAATGCAGCCTCTTTAAATCCAATGATGGGTAGATGAATGATTAATTGGACTTTAATTTGGCCACCTCATTTGCTCTTATGCTTTTTTTTTCATAACCCTAATTTTTAAGAGTGTAGTTTAGTGGTGTAATTGAATCGAACTGATTCTGAATATATATAGTTAAGTCTTGAAACTCAAATTGATTTCAACAACCAAAACTCAAGTTCATTTGAGTTTTAGCTTTTGATCTTGAACTTGATTCGGCTCAAGTCACCGAGGTATTCAAGCTGGACTTGAATAGATTCAATACAATTCTTTTTTCCTTAATTTTGCATTGATAAGCTTTTTACAATCAAATATTATAACAAAACTCAATATTACTACATCTGAGGTTGAGTATTAAGAGGCTTGAATTTGACTTGATTCATTATGCAAACTATGAAGTTAAGTTTAGCTTAATAGTAATAAAATCGAATTCAAATATTTATCGAATCAAGTTCAAATAGTTTGACTCAGTTATACCCCTAGTGTATTGTGTCGTACTCTTATTGTCTTACTAAATAATATGTAAATGTTATGTTTGAAAGCGTACTACAGTTTGGGTGAAGTTCCCTTTAAATTGTGCACAACATCACAAGGAGATAAATCAATCTAAGTTGCTTATAATTGACTAACTCAAACCGAGGAAGCCAATAGACAACCAATTGTTAGATGCCTAGATCGACTCAGCTAGGATTGCCCCTCTTTTTAAGATGATTGTTCCCCACTTTGTATCATTATTAGTCTTCGCACAAAAAAAAAAAATCTATATTTTAAAAGGACTAGAGTTTGATCACTTCCATAGTAATTTAACTTGAAAATAGTTAGTCTAAATGTCTAATATAATCAATTATCAAACATACAACTGCTACTTGAAGGTACATTATGGGCGAAAGTCACTTTTTAATTCTTCTTCTACAAAGTTATCAATAATTTTCTATAGATAGTCAAACTTAAAACATTGTGGCCCTGTTTGATAAAATGGTTGTTAGCTGTTAGCTGATTATGTTAATTAGAGGGTATAAATAGTTGATAACATTAGCTAATTGTAAAAAAGTGTTTGATAAATTAGCTGTTAGCTGATAGCTATTTGGTATAATTTATTTTATCAAAAAGCTAATTGAAAAAATTGCTTGGAGTAACTTTTTGAATTTTAGCCTTTTGAAGTTGCAAAAAACTAATTAACCAAACATTTATATTGATATTTTAACTAAATCAAACAATTAATAGTGGTCAAATAAGTCAAAATTGACCTATAGGCAAATTTTTTACCAAAGAAAGCCTGTGATTATCAAATTAATTGTGTGACCAAATTGACTAGAGTTCTCGCAATTATGTTTGGATATAGTTGTACCTCTCACTATCTCAAAAATAAAATTAAAAAAAATAGAAAATTGTTTTCTTTTTTCTAAAAAAAAAATAAAAATATGGCACATCAGCACATGGTGGATCAAATATTCCTTGGTTTTTGTGAAAATTCACACAGCTATATTTTAGTGCATTATTGCAAACTTTTTACCCAAATTTCTGGAAAGAATAAATAGGCTTCAAAGAGGGTGGAGAGTGGCAGTCAACAACTCAACCTCTCTCTCTCTCTCTCCATCCTTTCATTTCCATGGCTAGAATTTATCCTCAGAGCCCTTCATCTTCTTCATCATCTTCCTCTTCACCTCCTTCTTCTCCTTCTTCTTCTTACATGACTTCAAAGCGGGAGACGTTTACAGTGTGGATGAAGTCGCTTGTGTACCATGGAAATGGCTGCACGGTTTTCGACTCCAATGGCGAGATAGTCTACAGGATTGACAACTACAACACCAAATGCAGCAGAGAAGTTCATCTCATGGATCTCCACGGCAGGGTTCTCTTCTCCATACGCCAAAAGGTACAATTTTGTCTCACCAACAAATTTGCATCAATCTTGTTTGGACAGGTTCTGATCTTTGGCCTTGATTATCCTGCAGAAATTAGCAGTTTTTGGACGCTGGGATGGCTACAGATTGGGAAACACAGAATTGATCGATGAGGAGATTCTGTGCTTTCGTGTTAAGAGAAGCCGGAATGTCTTCAGAGGGGATTCCAATCACTACTGTGTTAATCTAGCTTGTGATCAGCCTGAAGAAAGCTGCTATAAAATCATAGCTTTACCTGGAAAATCAACATTCAAGATTGTCAGTGGATCAAGATTAGTTGCAGAGGTTTGTCCCTTCTTCTTCTTCTGCCCCATCAATCTTGAAAGCTTTCTTCTTTTTCCTCTCTCTCTCTCTCTTCCTTTCTCTCTCTGTCTAACATCTGTGATCTGGGATTTTGCAGGTAAAACAAAAGCAGGCAACATCTGGGGTTGCTTTTGGAGATGATGTATTGACTTTGATGGTGGAACCTCATGTTGATCATTCTCTGGTTATGGCTTTAGTCACTGTTTATGGCTTGATCAACCAGAAACTATGAGAATTTTTTTTTTTTCTTTTTTGGGTACTGAGTTATACATTTCTGTTGATATATGTGAAAGAAACACTCACAGCAACCAAAGGATACTGTAACCTGTTCAGATCAGTAAAGAAATTCTAACAATTTTTCTCATCTCCAAGCATTCTCCAATTTGTTTCTTGTCAGCTATTTCAAAACTCTGTAAATGTAGTTACTAAATTACAGAACACATCATTTTCTCCTTTCTTGATCATACTGTTGACCAGATAATCACAATATTACAAGTTCTACTCTCAGCAAAGGTGAGGTAGTTTACCCGGTGCACATCTTCGGGTACTGGCTGCGGGACTGTTGATTTGATAATCACAGTGTTACAAGTTCGACTCCCAGAGGCAGGTAGTTCACCCGATGCACATCTTCGGGTACTGGCTGCGGGACTGTTGACTTGATAATCACAGTGTTACAAGTTCGACTCCCAGCAAAAGGTGGGGTAGCTTACCCGGTGCACATCTTCGGGTACTGGCTGCAGGACTCTTGACTTGATAATCACAGTGTTACAAGTTCGACTCCCAGCAAAAGGTGGGGTAGTTTACCCGGTGCACATCTTCGGGTACTAGCTGCGGGATTGTTGACTTGATAATCACAGTGTTACAAGTTTGACTCCCGGCAAAAGACTTGATAATCACAGTGTTACAAGGTCGACTCCCAGCAAAAGGTGGGGTAGTTTACCTGGTGTACATCTTCGGGTACTGGCTGCGAGATTTCCTCGTTACTCAAAAAAAGAAAAGAAATATGCCACAGATTCACAGGTGATTGTTATCACAAACAATTAACAACTGCATCAATATTATGCAAAATCTGTGGATACACATTGTATATACCTACAGAGTAAGGCTACTGTCATTTTGTTATATATCCTATAGGGAGATCATACTATATGCAAGAGAGGAAAGAACAAAGAACAAAGAACAAAGAACGAATGTATTTCATAAATATACAACCTTCTCTATTTTTTTTTTTCTTTTTCATTCTTGAATGAATTCTTGAATACAAATTGCATCTAGATCTTTCAGCAGCAAAAGAATCTGGTTGATGATTCAGTGACCCTTTTTTGCGTTCTTAAGGTTGCGCACTTTCATCACAAGTTGCTGTCTTTCGCCTTCTACCTCTGCAAACTTGAGGCTTATTTCCGAGTATCTCTCTTGCATTTCCTTCAACTCGTCTTCCATCAATGAGTTCTTCTCCCTCAGTAAAGTAACTTCGCTCAATAGTAAACCATTCTCACTGCTCAAAATGCAAACAATATTTGCTCAGGGGAATTCGAGATCCAAATGCATTAGAACTAATTTATGTAACTAAATCCCATTTTAATAACAAAACTCGATCGAGAATATCAATTGTGGCGTGTACCTATTTACTGTTTCAGTCATGCCAGAATTCAGACTTAAGTCTTCTGTAGCTACCTGCATCGCATAAAGAACGATTAGCTCCACTTCACTTAAATACAAATTTATCCAAGAACACAAAAAAAAAACACCTTTATGGCACTAGCTAAATCAAATGAATCATATGAAGTTTAAATGTTCTTAGATGACCTTTTCGGGATTCTGTTCACAAATGCTTGCAGTATTCTGATTGATTTGTTCTAGTCTCGCTTCATACTCTTCAATTTTATTTTGAAGGTCTTGCTCCTTCTCCAAAAACGAATTTGTTGAGGTCTCGAGAGCATTTTCCTTAAGCTTGATCTGACCCTATTCATTGGCAAAAAGTCAAAAAGAATTGTCAAATTCCATGATAGAACACCATTAACATTCACAAATTTCTATGTTACGGGTGTAAAATTACCTCGAGCAATTTGATTTTATCCTTTAGACTATTAACCTCCTTGAGACCCTGGGTAGCAGATGCAAATTTATTGTTCCTCGAAGCAGCTCTTGCTCCATTAGTAGACGCGAGCTTGTTGTTTGCATCTTTGAGTTTCTTATCTAAGCTATTTAATGCGTCTTCTTTCTTCTTCAGATTGCCCTTCAATTGGGACACCTGCTTCCTCAACTTATCTTTCTCCGATTCATCCTCAGAAAAACGAGTGTTATATTGCTCTCTAAGAGTACCTATCTCCGACTCGAGTTTACCAACTAGCATGTCCTTCTCGTCCTTAAGATGTGTTATGCTGTTCAATTCATTTAAAGATTTCTCGACTTGACAGGTGAGCTCGTGCAATCTCGATTCGTAATGTTCTCTCTCGGACTCGAGCTCCTCGGATGATGCTTGCAGCATTTCTTCGAGATGAGTTTTGTGTAGGCGGAGCTCATTGGCTTCGGCCAGTGCTTTAATCGCCAGTTTCTCGTTAGCCTCGAATGTGGATGCCATTTGCACCGAGAGCCTCTTGAATTCCTCCTGCAGCCTCTCTGCGGTGTTAGCGTTTTGCCACCGTGTCTTTCTCAGTGCTTCTTCTGCACGTATAGCTCTTTGCTCCTGCTCGACTTTATCTCGAGAGAGAGCCTCGAGATCAGCCTCGAATCCTTGTGCTTGCTTCTCCAGTTCCTCCTCCAAACTCTTGACTTGAGACTCGAGCGAGCTAATGGTGAGCGAGGAATCGGAGAATTCCTTAGATTGCTTCTTTAGTTCGTTCTCCAAGAACTCAATCTGGGCTTCGAGTTCACTCACCGTGGCATACGAAGTTGAACATTCGTACTGCATTTTCAGCTGCTCCTGAAGTTGGCTTTGTTCCACTCGATACAGCAAGTCGTGGTTTTCCTGCTTCAGGATCTCGTAATCAAGTGCGAGCTGCTCCATCTGCATCTCTAGCTCGTCTTTATCTCTTCGATAGATCTCTAGCTCGTTTTGGAGGTCCGTGATCTTTCGCTCCAGCAGGTATGCTTCTTTAATATCGCTATGCTGTCTCACGAGCTGCTCCAGTTCATCATCATCATCGTTGTTAATGTCGGGTTTCGAGTTAGCATCATTGCCAGAAAGATTCGTGATCTCCTTATTCTTCTGTTCCAGCAGCTCATCGAGATCACGAACAGCAAGAATCAACTCAGAGTTTGAATCTTGCGTTTTCTCGAGCTGTATCTGAAGATTAGCGTTGAGGTCCTTCTGATAGTTGAGTTCTTGTCTGAGTTCATGAACAAGAGCCTGAACGTCCCCTCGGTCGAGCAACTCGTCTCTAGATTTGGCATCATCTAAACGTCTCCGAGAGGCTTTAAGTTTTTCACATTCCTCCTTGAATGCATCCCGGTCCTCTTTGAGGACAACGATTTCTCTCGAAAGATCCTGCCCTCGTTTGCTCTCCTTCACGATTTGCTTACGAAGCGTCTGCAGTTCCAGCTCAGACACCTCTACCTGCCTCGCCAAAGCAACGAACTCTGATCTCAGCTTCTCGACATCGTCTGGAATCTCTTCGGATCCTCTCAAATTGGCCTCTCGAGAAGTGCTCGAAGAGTCATCGGTGCTACCATCGAGAGTAGAAGCTCCCATCCACTCCCACCGTGATCTCTCGTGCTCTTCGATTGCTGGCACACCAACCGTCTGGTCTTTGCAGGTATTGCTGTTCTTCGTTCGAAGATCCCGGGGTGTATCAAGCCCCGAGCTGCTCTCCGAGCTTGACAAAGTGATGTCAGATTCACTAGACGCCCTCCGCCCATTCAACTTGCCAACAACCGAAATGTTCTTATTCACTGGAGTTTCCTGTCAAGCAACAAAGGTGTTAGCTCTAGCCACTTAGAAGACGAACACAAATATATTCGTCTATACATACAAGAATAGTGCACAGAACTTCTCAAAATGATACAAAACGAGGCCTTACATCAACAGAATTTTCTCGGAAACTTGCCTCCATATCCTCGTTGCTTATTTGAGCCTTCAATGTCCTATCCTCGGCATCAGGTTTAGCAGTCTCGTTTTCTTGAATAATACTGTAAAAAAAGCAAAAGAAGATAAGAGGACTAAATCCAAATCCAACACCTAAAGAAACAGCAAAAACAAGATTTCAAGATTAACCAGTACCTCGGGTCGAAAGAATCATGAATTCGTTGTATCGATACCTATAAATACAACCAAAATTCCTTCAGATCATTCCGAACGAAAAAGATAGCAAAAACTGTTGAGCATATAACCATTAATGTGCAATCCAACTATCAGCTTAGGCTTTAGTTGAGATGGAGCACATGCTTCAATTTGGTATCAGAGCCAGACCGAAGGTCATGGGTTCGAATGGTCCACGTGTTGAGCATATAGCCATTAATGAACAATCCAACTCAATTAAAACAATGAGAAGGGGGGAAAGAGATTTACATGCAATACAGCCCCGGATTTCGAGTTCTTGAGTGGAAGAGATACCGAGGAAACCTTAGTCGCCTCAGCATAGCTCGAGAAATCAATGGAAGCTTCTCCAACAACCCCCGATTTCGAAGAACCCTAAAAGGAATCCCGACAAACCACACACACATCTAAGCATCTAACACACCAGAAATGACAATGAAGTATGAAGATAGATGCGCATACTTTAACCATCACTTACAGTTCCAACAACAAAGTTACAGATTCTCAAATGAAGATGCATATATATACCGGAAACATTACTTACAGTTCCAACAACAAAGTTATAGATTCTCTCATGAATCTTCCCCGATTTCGGTTCTCTATACAGCTTCACAGTCTCATAAACCGCATTCTCCCAGCAACAGCTCCCATCACGAATCGTCGCTTTCTCTGATTTCACTGTTGGCTTCCCAACATCACCAGGAACCACAGAGATCATCAATGCATCCCCTGCTACCTGTGATGCCCAAAGCACAGAACATGAGTTAGGATCCCCCACAAAACATAAAAACAGGGAAAAAAAAAACAAAGATTTCAACCCCAAAGAACACAGATTAAAACTAAAATGCAGCTAAGCCAAAGAACACACAGATTGACACTAAAATGAGTTAGGATCCCTCACAAAACACAAATGCATAAAAAACAGGAAAAACAAAGATTTCAACTCCAAGAACACACAGATTAAAACTAAAATGCAGGTAAGTCAGAAGATAAATTCTAGCTATAGTTCTGTATAATCAAGAGAAGGAAGATATAAAATTCTGTCCTCACATTCATTACCTTTCCCAATGTACTATCTATCCATCCAGCATTGCTTTTTCAAGAATGGTAAAAAAAATGGAATGGAAATTCAAATATGGAGTGAGATAATAGAATTGAGAAGTCAGTGAGAAAGACAAGACCTGAGTTGCACGGAAGTGCAGCTTGAAAACACCTTTGATCTTCCCCTTTTCGCTCCGCCATCGCGCCGACTTGAACATTTTTCAACTACCAAACACACATTTCCCTCAACCAATTCCCCAACACTCGCCGGAGCTTACCAGAGCTCCGGCGAAACCAGCCGGGAATCAACCATTAACCCCAAAGATCACCACTTTTTCCGAAACCAAAACCACCCACTTCGACTCCTACACTGTAGCAGAGACAGAGAGAGAGAGAAGGGGAGAGAGAAAGAAGTGTATCACCGAGTTGACTCGGTTGATAAAATTAAATGCCAATTGAGCTCAGAAAGGAATCAAAGCTCTCCTTCGTTTCAGAAGAAGCTCCGCATTGAACATTCGTTAATGGAAATCAAGAATGAGTATGGAGAACACAATAGAACAGATCCGTGGCGGTGCATCTCTGCTGTTTTACCACTCTTCTCTCTCTCTCTCTCTCTAAAGCTCATGCTCAGTTTCTCTCTCTATATCTTTAGTATGTAACAGTTCCCTTATAAAAAGAGAAGCAGCTGACCAAGGTTTGGTAAATTGTATTTAATTACTTTTAAATTCAGTAAAAATGACAAACAAACAGATTTGAAAATTTTTAGGGGAAGCTTCTTTCTCCAGATTCACAGAATTATAATACACTACACAGTTTTTTATCCCCTTTTTTTTCTTTTTAAATATGTTTTGAGATTTGATATATAATACTCATTCTGCCACATTGTATGTGTCATGTTTAGTATTCATTGATCAAATCAATTATTTTTTTTAATTTATTTTCTTTAATACTTTTTATTTATTTTTTAAAATTTGATTTTTTGTGTTTAGTAATACTTTGTAGTGTAGTTTCTAAATATATAAATTTTGTATACTAATACTAAACTTAATATAATAAAAAATTAGATTAAAAATGACTTTAGTTAATCCTCGTGGATCGAATCAGACACATAAAATGAGACGAATAGAGTAGTTACATTGAAATTTGATATATGTAGAGTCAAATAATTATAATATGATAGGCATGTTGATGATCTGGTCGAAGACCGATCATGCTTTGTCCAAGCTCGATTGAGCTTCAAGGACGGAAAGCTAGGTCACAAACAAAACAATCACTTTTGTAGTCACTACGGTAGACATGACTACAACACTAACACGTGTCATGAATCTCTAGTGCTGTCTTGTCACATTAGACCCGTTAATAGAGACCGACATTTGTTTTCTGTTTTGACATTATAATTTATAAATAGAGACTACCTCTACCTTTTTTTTTTCTTTTTTTTTTTTTAAATATGTATTGAGAATCGATATTTAATAATTACATTGAAATTCGATATATCTAGAGTCAAATTATTATAATATGATAGGCATACCGATGACCTGGTTGAAGACCAATCATGCTTGGCCGGAGCTCAAGCTTTGAGGCCGAGAAGCCCGGTCACAAACAAAAAAAATCACTTTTTTCGTCACTATGGTACATGTGTCACGATTCACTAGTGTTGTCTTGTCACGTTAAACATGTAAATGGAGACCCGATATGTGTTTTGTGATTCGAGATTATAAATAGATACTACATCTAACCGAAAATGGGATATGATTTTTTAGATTTGATATACTTATTGAGCACTATAGATTCTTTGAGCTCTTTTGTATTATATTTAGATTGTATTAAGAACATCTCATTATCAATACAACACTCTTTGTTCTAATATCTTGCGTATTTCTATTGTATTCTCACTTTCATATACGTAGCATATAAGTCTTGTAATTATTTATGCTACCACATATGTTATTTATAATACTTAAAAATTTGAGATTTAAATCTTTAAAATTTGACATTTATAAACATTATGGATGATTTTGCAATAATATATTTGAAAATTCTCTCCAAGAGAGAATTATTGGTCACTATTATTTGTTAATGGAATAATTGGCATGCCTCATATTCATGTAATTAAACTATGAATTAAACAATTTTGTGTTAATAAAATTTCATCGCTTCGAGAAAAGAAAAATATGATCTAAACAACATAAAGTTTTCATCTTTTTTTTTTTTTTTTTTTTTTTTTTTTTTTTTTTTTTTTAATATGGAAAATGGCAACAACAAAAATTAGGTGAAAGTTAACAAATAACATATATAGAAATGAATCTATTGTTTTATAATTAAAGAATTAATTTTATATACTAAATAGTCAAAAATTAATGTACCAAAATAATAATTATTTGTTAATGTAATTGCCTACTATAATTGTCTTATTAATTGCGAATTCACCATTAGGTATATAATTGTCTTATTAATTTAGTTTTCTCACTTTTTTTTCATATTTGTTTTACAACTAATCTTAAATTTCAATATATAATTTTTCATTTTTATTTTTACTATTTTCGAGGATGAGAAAATTCACCAGCCATGAATGCATTGCTTTTAAATTAATAAATGAAAATGAAAAGTAAATTTAAAAAATTATTAAATAATAATCAAGACTAATCCAAGTTTTTTTTCCTTTTCACCACATCTTTTTACAACTATTATAAATTCATAAATATAATTGTCTAAATCATATTACATTTCCAAATTTCAAAAAAAAAATTGTAGCCAATCAGATAATTTAAAACAACATTAAAATAGAATTTGATTCTATTTTTTTCACAGCTTAATGTCTTTTTAAATTATTTTTCTATTTTTACCCATATTTATTTTAGCAATAATATAATTATCTAAATTATATTACAATATCAAAATTTTCAAGATAATTGCAGACAATCGAGTTATATATTATTCAATTAATTGAGTGATACTTTTACACTAATCTTTTAATCAAATAAATATACACTTTCAAATATTTGAATTGTTTATAATTTCATCTTAAGTTTTATTATCTAAATATATAATAAAAAAATTTATCCATACATCACACATGTAATTTACTAGTTGCAATATATAAAAAGGCCCTTATTGCCCAAAAGGGGTGATCAACTGGGTGAGTAGGGCATAATTATTGTACTAAAAGATATGATCACAACACACTCTTCCTATTTTAGTTTAGAGTTCTACTACATAGACTCCCAAATCATATTCCCTAAATTTTACTCCTGATGTGGCAGACACTGTACTGATAGACTACTTTTTTATGTGAGTCCCAATACAAATGTCTACATCAAGATTTTGTGTGTGAAAGTAAAAATTGAAAGTAGAAAATAGAAGTATATGTATTATTTTTCTTTAGTTTATCTCCCATGTGTAATTTGAGAGTTATTGCACAAGAATATATCATGATGATAGATTTACTCGTCCCCAAAAAAAAAAAAAAAAAAAAAAAAAAAAAAAAAAAAAAAAAAAAAAAAGAGGACCCTTGTTTGTGAAATATTTACGGAAATTGTTAATAATTCATTCATGACCTAGGTCCTAAATAGTCAGACCAAAATCCTTTATAATGTTATGTCAATAAAATTTATAGTGGGGCGTACTTTAGTACTTTCCTTGGTTTGGTTCATCGTAACCAACCTCTGATTCTATCATATGCATGCACAAAACTTGACCAATTTTAGTAGGTATATGATTGAATGTACCTTATAAGCCTTAATTTGCTACAAACTTACAATAACTTTTTACATCAATTATATAATATCCTAATTGCATACAAGAAAAATTATAAGTATACTTTTATAGGTAAAATTTTTGTTGTTTAATTATATATTCTAATTTTATAGTTGAAAGAAAAATAACGAATAAAAAGTTGTGATCGACTTACAATTTTTTTTAAATAAATTAAATATGTTATTAAAAACTAAGATTATTAGTTTCACTAAAAGTAATTATGGTGAAGTCATGTTATGTAATCCTTCTTTGCTAGATTATTATTAGTATCTCTTTATAATGTATGGCTTCACATTGTATGATTGTTAATTTTCTTTGTAAGATTATTCCTCATGAATTTTGTGGCTGTTATTTATGGATTAATTGATCATTTATATTCTCACAAAGTCATAATTTTGAGTAAAAAAATAAGAATTAAAAAAAAAAAGATCGAGGAGAATAAAATTTAACTTAGTTGCTAGACTAAATTTAAATAATTTTCTAAATGGTAAATTAAGTTTCAGTATGGTGTGAGAGTTGTTATGAGTATCATAGTTGAACTATGGAGAATTTTACCATGGCCTACTTTTGTGTTGGAACATAGGTTTTAGGACGGTGAAGTTGGAGACAGATTGCCTTGTAACAACTCGTAAAATTTCAATGAGAGGGTAATGAGCGAGCAGTGTTTGTCAATATATATTATTGAGTGTATTCATGAAATGTTTCATTTATACTGGATTTGTTCTATTAAACACATTCATAAGGAAGCAAACAAATGCATAGATTGATTAGCTTCAAGTCACAACATAATCATTATTCTTGATTTGCATATTCTTGATGCCCATCCAAAGGATGAGTCATTACTTGTTAGATGTTATTGGGGTCAATTAGCCTATAGTTGTGTAGCTTAGTTTGTTTTGTTTGATTTCTTTATGTTAAGGGAACCCAAAAAATGATCTCTGAAAATCATTTTTTGGTTTTCAGTGTTTGATAAAGAGTAAAAAATGTGAGTCAAAGGAAAATGATTGTTTGGTCAAAGGAAACTACTCTCATTGTCTTGAAAAATGACTTCTCCTTTTTTTTGGAGGAGTCATTTTTCATAACAAAAGCTTCCATAGCTAAAGCTTCTGACGGCGCGACGACCGCTCACGACGAGGACAACCCTAACGACCGAGCTTCCATAGCTAAAGCTTCTTGTGAAGGTGACACACCACAAGGACGAGGACATATGTGTTTTTTGTTCTTCCTTCTACTTGCGATAACTAGCTTTCGGTAGGGCTTCTGTTTCTGAACTTCCTTCTTCCACAGCGCCTGTTATGAGCTTCCAGCAGACTGACAACAACAACAGTTTCTGGCGGGCAACTGACGGCAACGACAACGGGAGATTCCAGCGACGAACTCACTACCGCGGCTTCCAGCGGTGTCCTAAGTGTAATATTTGATTATATTTAAAATTGTTATTATATTATTATTATTATTATAAATGTTGTTATATTCTAAATAAAATAATTAAAATATTTAATTATACAATTTTGCTTATTTTTCAGAAAATAAACTAAACACACCAAGACAGTTTGCTGAAATGCAACCAAACACGAAAAATGAAAATAATTTTTAAAAAATTACTTAATTTTCAGAAAATATTTTTCAGTAGTCATTTTTCTGATTTTTTTTTTTTTTGAAAGTCATTTTTCTGGTTTTCAAAATCACATTTATGTATAAAAACGAATAGTAGAATATTTTTTCTGACTCAATTTCTAATACAAAAGATAAAGATATTATTATTATTATTTAAAAAAGAAACCGCGACCAAGGACCTTGTGGTCCAATGACACCAAGTTGCTCCCTTATATGAGAGGTTGTGAGTTTAAGTCTCAGTGGAAGTGATATTGGCTCTTTGTGCTTCATTAAGTTGAGAAAGTAGCT